CATCATGAGCGAAAAGGAGCTGAAGGAGAAACTAGAAAGGCTTAGAGCGTCGCGAGGAGCCCACAGAGGTGTCCTTACCAAGAGGATTGGAGAAGCAAACGAGATACTCGAATCAGAAGGTATGCTGAGTAATGAACAAATTAAACAATTAGACGCATTGCATCGTTTACTGGAGAACAAATTGAAACTTGTCGAAGGCCTTGACGAAAGCATTTTATCATTATGTGAAGTTGAAACTATTCAAAACGAGATCGAGGATTCAGAGAGGGTCCTGGAAAGGGTGGTTGAATGTCAGAAAAGCATACAAGATGCCTTAACAAAAGGGAAGAATGAATCTAGCGCGCAAGAAAGCCAAATCAATCCCGGCCAAGGTTTACCTGGCGTGGCTTCAACAGCAATGAATGTTCAAGCGAAAGCGAAGTTACCTAAGTTGATATTACCTAGATTTAGAGGAGATGTAACTAAGTGGACCAGCTTTTGGGACTCTTACAAGACAGCAGTGCATGAAAATATGGCAATTTCTCCTATCGATAAGTTCAATTATCTCAATTCACTCCTCGAAGGCCCTGCCTCTCGATCAATTCAAGGTTTATCTTTGACCGAGCCGAATTACAAATCTGCAATCGAAATTTTACATGAGAGGTTCGGAAGAACGCAACAAATAATTTCCGCACACATGGAGGAACTGTTGAAATTGCCAAGCTGCTCGACATCCGAGCGTTCAAATTCTTTGAGATTTGTGTACAACAAAATCAGCGTCCACATTCGTGGCCTGTCTTCACTGGGCGTTGCCTCTGATCAATACGGCGGTTTATTAATTCCAGTGGTTATGTCTAAGCTTCCCAATGGACTTCGTGTTAGAATCGCTAGAGAAACGACGAGTGCTGTTTGGAAAATTGAAGAACTGATGGATGTAATCAAACGAGAAGTTGAAGCAATAGAAGTTAGCGAGAATGTCAAAATCACCGAAGATCGAAATCAGAAACCTCCACCGTACCAAAACAAGAATCCCAAGTATCCAACCGCCAATTCGTTAGTAACCAAAGATGACCAAACAGCAAAGAAAAAGCCGGAAATACGATGTGTTTATTGTAACGATTTACACTATTCAGCGTCTTGCTGGAGGGTGACTGATCCGAACCACAGAAGAAGTATACTAATCGAGTCAAAACGATGTTTTAAATGTTTATTTCCTGGGCATCAAATCAAGGACTGCAGGGGCTCAAGGAACTGTCGTAACTGCGGAGGCCGTCATCATCAGTCAATTTGTTTAGGAGGATATCGAGAAACGCGACTAGCCGACAATAACACAAACAACGAAGAAGCAACTTGTTTGGGGAGGACCACTACCACCGCAACTACAAGTACGAAAAGAGCCAAGGGGAGCATTTTGTTACAAACTGCTACCACCACAGCAACAAACGAAGACCGATCCAAGTCCGTTCCCGTACGAATTTTATTCGACAATGGTAGTCAACGTTCATACGTGATCGACCACATCAAAGCAAAGCTGGGTTTAACTGCAACGGCGACTGAGACCCTTCACTAAACACGTTTGGTGAAAACGCCTATCGTAAACAAAAATGCCAAGTTGTTACTTTGCTACTGCGAAGCAGTAAAGACGAGTACGTGGAGATTACAGCGCTCAATTTTCCGGTCATTTGTTCGCCACTTCCTAAGAGAATAGATGTCACGAAATACCCACATTTAGCCGATTTAGATTTAGCAGACAGTTCAGCGATCGACCAAGACTCTATTGACATTCTCATTGGATCGGATTATTACTGGGACATTGTCACTGGAGAATCGATCCGCGGTGAATTGGGTCCCACAGCCATCAACAGCAAGTTTTGTTGGCTTCTTTCAGGCCCTACCGACGAGCAACATGTACATGAAAATTCCAATGTCGTCTCGAATCTCATCATCTCTGGTGAACCATTGTTAAACGAAGCGAATGAAGTCGACGAGATCACGAATATGCTGAAACTGTTCTGGGAAACCGAAAGCATCGGAATTACAGACGACATCGAATCCGCAACTCCCTTGCCAATTGGAGCCAAGCGAAATGAAGAAATCTCTTTTGATGGTTGTCATTACGAAGTTGCACTGCCATGGAAGGATGACTGCTTCCCACGTACGAATAACTATCGAATGTGTGAAATCCGACTGCGATCACTGCATTTCAAATTGAAAAAGGATCCAGATTTATTGAGGGACTATGACAAAATTATTCGAGAACAAGAGCAGACCGGAATTGTTGAAAGAGTTCACGAAGAAGAATCAAGCAGTACCGTTAACAACACCCGAATCTATTATTCGCCACACCATGCAGTGATCAGAAAGGATCGCGAAACAACTAAAGTGCGTGTAGTTTACGACAGGTCAGTGAAAGCGTCTAAAGAAGAACTGTCACTAAACGATTGTTTAGAAACCGGCGATAATTACATTCCGCACATATTTGACATGCTAGCAAGATTCCGAAACAACCCAATTGGACTTACCGCAGACATTGAAAAGGCTTTTCTAATGGTCAGTATTAAAGAAGAAGACCGAAACATGCTACGTTTCCTGTGGTTTGATAACCCAGAACAAGACAGACCAAGAATCGCACAATTT